GCCATGTGATACAGAACTGAACAAGGCCAGTCCCTACGGAGTGCACAGCCCCCTCCGAAAAACGGACATGCGAAAGAGTTGTTTGTATTCACTGTCTCCAGTCTTTCTCTTCCCATCTCTCTTGAATGATGCCCACCAGACTTTGGCCCTTACCACCCAACAGAAACTTCTTTTCTTAAGGCAAGCAGTGACCTCCGTGTCTCTAAACCCAGCGGTCGGTACTCAGACCTCATCTTCTCGGCTCCCTCTGATTCGCTCACTGCCTGCACTTGGCTTCTGAGACACCACCCTGGCCTGCTGTCCCTTCTCAACACCAACAGCCCCTTCTCGGTCTTCTTTGCGTGACTTCTAAATGCGGGGGTATCCCCGGACTCGGGCCCTAAGTGATCTCATCCGGTCTCCTGGCTTTAAATACCATCCAGGTGTTGAGGACTCCCAAATTCTGTCTCCAGCCCTGACCCTCTCTCCTGAGCTCCAGACTTGTGTGGCCAGCTCTTGGTTTCGGCTCAGGTCATGATCTCACAGTTCGTGGGATCGGGTCCCACGTCGGGCTCTGCATTGACGGTGTGGAGCCTGCTTGGGATTCTCTCCCCCTCTCTCTGCCCTTTCCCGCCCCCCCCCCTCAAAATAAACATTTTTATGTCACTCTCACTCAGTAAAAGCCAAAATACTTACGATGGCCTACCAGCCATTGTTACTGTCTTGTTCATTCCATTCTCACCACATTGGCCTCCTTTTTGTCTAACGCCCTAGGCATGCTCCTGCCCCAGGGCCTTTGCAGATAGCTGCACAATTCAAGTCCTTCAGATCTTTCCTCAAAGGTCTTGCTTGGTGAGTCTCCCTTGATCACCCAAATAAGACTTCAACACCCTCTAGGCACTCCCTGTATCTTTTCCCTGCCCCTGTTTTCTTCAGAGCATCCCGTGCCTTTTAATAGTTGGTATAATTATTTACCTTCTTTGTCTATTCCTCTCCCCCAACTAGAATTTCAGCTCTGTGGGAACAGGGACTTTCATCTGTTTGTTCACTGCCGTATCCTCAGCACCTGGCACCTAGTGGGTATGAAATAAGCATCTGAATAAATGAAAAGTCTTCAGAGGGGATAATGAGCGCTAATGGAAGCACAGAAATATTGCTAAGGAGTGCAGGAGGTGAATGATGCTTTTAATGCCAGGAAAATTGTTATTTAAGGGCCTTGTACGTCTTTCTAAGGAGCCTGCTTTGGATCCTCTGTCTCCCTCTCTCCCTCTCTGCCCCTCCCCCACTAGCATGCTTGTTTTCTCTCTCTCTCTCTCTCTCTCTCTCTCTCTCTCTCAAAAATAAATTTAAAAAAACAAAAAAGAAATACAAGAGTGGCCAAGTGGTTCAGGCAGTTGAGTGTCGGACTCTTGAGTTCGGCTCAGGTCATGAACTCACAGTTCGTGAGATCGAGCCCCACATCGGGCTTTGTGGTGAGAGTGCAGACCCTGCTTGGGATTCTGTCTCTCCCTTTCTCTGCCCCTCCCCAACTTACGCATGCGTTTTCTCTCTGTCTCTCAAAATTAATTAATTAATTAATTAAAAAGAAATACAGAAGAGAGAATAAATTTCATGGGGCACCTGGGTGGCTCAGTCAGTTAAGCATCCAACTCTTGATTTTGGCTCAGGTCATGATCTCACGGTTGGTGAAAATCAAGCCCCACGTTGGGCTCTGCCCTGACAGTGTGCGGAGCCTGCTTAGAATGTTCTCTCTCCCTCTCTCTCTGCCCCTCCCCTGTGCTCAACCACTCTCTCTCTCTCTCTGTGTCAAAATAAATAAATAAACTTAAAAAAAGAAAGAATAAATTTCATGTGGTCAAGGTGAAAGTCAATAATGGGTTCTAGGAGTGTGAAGTTTTGAAAACCTGTGTGCTGTCCAGGTGGAGATGTCCAGTAGGCAGCTGAGTGCTTGGTTTGGGAGCTCAGGGTGGGAGGTCAGGGCCAAAGAGAAAGATTTGAAAGTCATCTAGCTCTAGATGGTGTTTAAAGCCATGGCTATGGTAGAATTTCCTAGAGAAGTCGTATAAATTGAGGAGGGCAAAACGTTACTGGTTATTAATGCCAAATACTGCTCCAAAATCCAATAAGAAAATACCAAGGGTGCCCGGGTGGCTCAGTCAGTTAAGTGTTTGACTCTTGGTTTCAGCTCAGGTCATGATCTCATGGTTCTTGAGCTCCACGCTTCGAGGAACCTGCTTAGGATTCTCTCTCCTTCCCCAGCTCGCCCTCCCCCTCTCTCTCTCTCTCTCTCTCTCTCTCTCTCTCTCTCTCAAAATAAACTTAAAAAGATATTTTTAAAAATCCTACTGAATTTGGCAGTGAGGAGGCCCTAAGTGAATATATTCATTTATTCAAATATTTGTTGAACATTTGCTCTGTGTCAAGGATACAGAAGATACCATAGTGAACCAAACAGGCAAAAATCCCCTTTGCCCCAGAACTAAAATTCTAGTTGAGAGGAACAGACAAATAACAAAAGAAATAAGGGGCGCCTGGGTGGCTCGGTCGGTTAAGTGTCCGACTCTAGAGTTTGGCTCAGGTCATATCACGCTTCATGATACCACGTGAGGTCATGGGTTCAAACCCCGCATCAGGGTTCACACTGATGGTGCAAAGTCTGCTTGGGAATCTCTGTCCCTGTGTTTGCCCTCCTCTGCGCGCGCTCTCTCTCTCTCTCTCTCATACAAAATAAACTTGCAAAAAAAGTACAAATGAAAAGGGAAAGGGACGTCCGTTAACAGACGAGTGGGTAAACCCTGTGGTGGGGCCGCACAACGGAACACGACTCAGCAATAAAAAGAACAAATTACCGAGGAACACCAGAGCAGGGATGGATCGCAGAAGCCTCAGGGCCAGTGGAAGAAGCCCGTCTCGAAAGGTGACCGGCTGTACGCTTCCATGTATGTGACATGCTCAAAAGGCAAAACTAGAAGGCCAGAGAAAAGGTCGGCGGCCGCCCAGGACTGGGAATCGGGGAGGCCCTGATGGGAAAGGGGCAGCGCAAGAGCATCGCGGGGGCAGAGGGGCACTTCTGTGTCCTGACGGTGCTGATGGTCACACGAAGCTCTACGGAGGAAGGAGTTGTTGTCTTTTTTCCTTAAGAGAACGTTTTTTTTCTTTTTTTAATGTTTATTTATTTTTGAGAGAGAGAGAGAGAGAGGCAGCATGAGTGGGGGAGGGGCAGAGACAGGCTGAGAGGGAGAGAGGGAGAGAGAGAGAGCACCCAAAGCAGGCTCCGCGCTGACAGCACAAAGCCCAACACAGGGCTCAAACCCGTGAACCGTGAGATCATGACCTGAGCGAAAGCGAGAGTCAGACGCTTAACCCACCGAGCCACCCAGGCGCCCTGAAGCGAACTTTCTATGTAATAGTAAATAGCAACGCTGGCCCATATTTATTGACCCTTCCCATGTGCAGGACGCTGCTGAGTGCCTTCCATGCACCCCTCGTTTAATTCTCACGAAAGTCCCATGAAGTGGGTACTATGAATAAGGAAACCAAGGCTCGGGGGGGCTAGGTAAGTGCCCAGGGTCACATGGCCAGCAGGTGAGGCGGCCAGGATAGAACCTGACTTGTCTGACACCAGAGGTTCTGCTCTTCTGACTGTGAGACTCTATTGCCTCGCCCGCGTGGAAGATCGTTTTTGTTGTGTGTTTATTTATTTGCTTATTTATTTTTAAGTAATCCCTACAGCCAAGTTGGGGCTCGAACTCATGACCCTGAGATAAAGAGGCACGTGCTCTTCTGGCCGAGCCAGCGGGGCGCCCCTCCCGCCTGGCAGATCTGGATTGCACTTCACGAGAATGCCATGCTAGCCTCAACTAGACATTTCGCAAACAAACCAAAGTATGCGCGACGCTCAGTGTGACCCTGACACCATTTCTGAACGCCAGCTGTAAGGGGCCGTCCCCCTCACGGTGGCCCAGAGCTGTCAGGTGCGTATGCAGATGGTATACTGAGAAGTCCTTTCATCTGGTCCCTGAAACTGTTTTACTAAAGGACAAAAATGTGACTTTCAGGGAGGGAGCATTTTGGTGATCGGCCCGGACAGTCCTCGGAGTAGTGATGAAGTCCGTGAACGTGGCCAAAAGTGGTGTAAAAGTAAGGATCGCCGAAGTCGAGGTCCAGAAACTGGGTGCGGGAGGGGTTGTCTTACGGATGCCGAAGTTCCCTGAGATGGCGTTGAATCTGGAAGAGGGGGAGCCCCCAGGGGGCACGGTCTTCAGTGAACATGGCAGACCTTCAGGAGGTCAAGAGACGGGAGCAGCAGCAAGGAGTGTGGTTCAGTGACACGAGCCCCTGCCGAGAACTTGTGGCCTTAGAGCCAAGGAGTCAGGGTCCGGGGACGGCGAGACGGATCTGCTCCTCAACCGGGGACGTCTGTGACGTGGAGAAATGAGCGGCCCACACCTGAGAGCTTCACAAGGGAGGCCTCAGTTAAGACAGGGAGACGGAGGGGCGCCTGGGTGGTTCAGTCAGTTGAGCGTCCAACTTCGGCTCAGGTCACGACCTCACGGCTCGTGGGTTCGAGCCCCACATCGGGCTCTGTGCTGACTGCTTCGGATTCTGGCCTCTCTCTCTCTCTCTCTCAAAAATAAACATAAAGAAAAAAAAAAAAAAAAAGACAGGGAGCCAGAGGAGGGAGGCATTTAAAGGTTAAGGGCCTGGGAGAATGTTAATCACGTCCAGAGGGCATAGGTAGGGAAGCCACGTTAAGTATGACGTTTCCTTTGTCCTGAATGGTTGCTTCCTTCCGAGCAAAACAAGCCGCAAAAACGTGAACGGGGCGTCGTGACTTTACTGCGTGTTGATGTTCATCCTGAGCCCATCGAACAAGAGGCCTGTGACAGCCATTCTTGGCCAGCCTCTTGGCCAGGAGCATAGCAACCGAGGCCCAGACTGGAGACGCTGGCTTCTCTGGCTAGAACATTTATTTCCCGGTGACTGCGTCACCTCATCCCATCTTCTCGATTTCCCGCCAGGCTCAGAGCCCGTGCCTTCCGCACCGTGGAGGAGTGGATGTCCATTTCTCAGGAGCGGTGGACTGCTTCCGGCAGATAGTCAAGGCCCGAGGGGTCCTGGCGCTCTGGAACGGACTGACACCCAACTTGCTAAAGGTGAGAAGGGCGGTCAGTCTCTTCTTCCCCACCTCTTCCAATTCTAGCCCGTTCCCTTGCCGCTGCCCGACAGGACATATGGAGACACCCTGTCTTGTGCCGACGGTCGCACGAGACCCAGGCGTGGAGGCTGGCAGTCAGCCCCGAGAGAGGGGACCCTGTGCGGCGTTGGGGCATCTGACACCCCACCCCCGAGCAGCTGAGCACTGAGTGTAGAGGCTCCTCCCATGGGGGCTCATGGCCTCCTAAGGGGAACCTAACCCCCCCCCCCAGCCTAACATCGTTCGCAAAAAAGCGTACGATGTGCCCATATGCATCTCTCTGGGGAGAGGATCCCAAGCGTTCATCGTATTCCCAAAGTAGCTCATGACCCTCCCCACCACCACCACCACCGAAGAAGGCAAAGAACTCCGGACTGATCTTGCGTGAGCTGACACTTAAATGATTCCAACCAAGACCAGCATACGTCACCAGCTTTCATTCTGTCATCTTCCCTGATTCCGAGAATCGCGTCAGGTTGACTGCAGACGCACTGACTGTTTTCCGCTTAAAATTTGAACATGCTTTCCATTTCTTTTTACACAGATAGTTCCGTATTTTGGAGTTATGTTTGGCACCTTCGAGTTCTGCAAGAGAATCTGTCTCTACCAAAACGGTTACACTGTGTCTCCTCTGAGCTATCAGCTGACCCCAGGGGTGGATCAGAGTTTGAAGCCCCAGGAATTACGGGAATTTAAAAAGTTCTTCAAAACCAGACAGCTGAAGTCTAAGAAACCAACTCTTTAAAACCGAATGGAGCAAGAAGGGCACTGACTGAAGGCGTGTTACAATCACAGAAAAGAGGTAGCCTCGGAATTGCGTGTGCGTGGAGCGACAAGCGGGTCCTCCTGTCTGCTGCTCTCGGAAATGAGAAGGTTGAGCCGCGTATCACCTCCGAGATCCGATCTGATGTCCTGGTGAACACCTGTGCCAGGGGAAGTTTCCCAACGTGACTGTTTTGTGGCAGCATTCCACCCGATTTCATAACAAAACGTGGCTGTAGCGAAATGTGCAATGTACACGTGCAACTTACACGACACCAAAGAAATGGCACCGCCGCGACCTCAAAGCGACGTGTAGTTGGAGTGGCTGAGCGGATACATACCACACCGTGAGCTTAGCTGCAGGGTCACAGCTTGCACTAAGCCACACTGGCCTAGCTTTGCTCCATTTGACCCGAGACTTCCCAACATAGCTGCTCTGAAACTCCTAATCCTTGCTGACTCCGGAGTGCACACGCTATAGCGCAAATTACACCTTCTCAGAAACTAAATTAAAACGTTTAACATTTAAAAATTATCACTGCCGTAGTAGAAGCATCCTTCTCTATTTAAATTTGAAGTATCTCGGGGCGCCCGGGTGGCTCAATCGCTTGAGCATCCGACTTCGGCCCAGGTCATGATCTTGCAGTTCACGAGTTCAAGCCCCACGTCGGGCTCTGTGCTGACAGCTCAGAGCCCGGAGCCTGCTTCGGATTCTGTGTCTCCCTCCCTCTCTCTCTGCCCCTCCCCTGCTCGCGCTCTCTCTCTGTCTCTCTCAAAAATAAATAAACATCAAAAAAAATTTTTTATGGGCGCCTGGGTGGCTCCATTGGTTAAGCGTCTGACTTCAGCTCAGGTCACGATCTCACGGTCCGTGAGTTAGAGCCCCGCGTGGGGCTCTGTGCTGATGGCTCGGAGCCCGGCGCCTGCTTCGGATTCTGTGTCTCCTCCTCTCTCTGCCCCTCCCATGCTCATGCTTATGCTCTGTCTCTCAATAATAAATAAATGTTAAAAAAAAAAAACAAACACTAAAAAAATTTTTTTTTTAATTTAAAGTATCTCAAGCTGAGGAATTTCAGGAATCTTGTTTCAAGAAGGCAGTTTTTACTGTGACCGCTTAATTATACCCCAAAAAAGCTTCTTCCAGTTGAAGTCATGTGCAGGTGAAGGGGCCTGAATTCTCCACCTTTTTAACTTGCTTTAACTTGCAAGGTTACCCTGGAAATAAATTAGTCACGTTATTCTCACAAGATGTCCCCATTGCCTAAAAAGGATCAAATAGAACATTTGACACACATATCAAAATACATATATAACTGAACAAAAACGCTTCAGGCTAATCATCTCTACTAGATTTTTTAAAAATCACATTTCAGGGGTGCCTGGGTGGCGCAGTCAGTTAAGCGTCCGACTTCAGCCAGGTCACGATCTCGCGGTCCGTGAGTTCGAGCCCCGCGTCAGGCTC